GGTTATAGTACATTGAAGAATGATCATATGACTTTTTACATACGCCATGTGACCTGTAAATGCGAAAAAAACGTTTCCATTGCGAATTTTTCCTTTTTCGCATTGCCTGAAAAACCACCTCATTCGAGCGTAAAAGCGTTTTTTGCGATATATGGGCGTTTTTGCGAAATTTACGCGTTTCCATTAGGCGTATTTTCAATTCGCAATTTCAATTTGCGCAATTTGAAGGGTAATGGAAACGCACCTACTGTCATGTCATTCATGGGGAAGTCGTGGCCTAATGGTTAGAGAGTCGGACTTGTAACCCAAAGGTTGTGGGTTCGAGTCTCGTACCGGCAGGGATTGTAGGTGGGGGGAGTGAATGTACAGCGCTCTCTTCTACCTTCAATACCACGACTGAGATGCCCTTGAGCAAGGCACCGAACCCCCAACTGCTCCCCGGGCGCTGCAGCATAAATGGCTGCCCACTGCTCCGGGTGTGTGTTCACGGTGTGTGTGTTCACTGCTGTGTGTGTGTGCACTTTGGATGGGATAAATGCAGAGCACTAATTCTGAGTATGCGTCACCATACTTGGCCACATGTCACGTCACTTCAAACCTGTATGAGTTTTTTTTTTTCTTGTGCAGAACTGCTTCAGTTAAATTTCAGTTATTTGGAAAAAAATTATAAATTGAGTTATAAACCATTCAGTTATCAGCAATTTTCATTGTATAGATAAAAAATGTAAATTGACTACCTTTACTTCATCTAAAGTTATCTTTAAAGTTGCGATGAAATGGATGTAGTGACAGATCTTTTCTTCCGTATTGTAATGTACTGTATATCCGATTGAAACGCACTATTGAAAAAGAAAAGATAAAAAATATATGAATGCACTTTCCTCAAAAATGGATTTGAACGCAAGCTTGCAGTTGATCAAAGAAGCATGTAGAAGTTCAATAACTAGCATTTAGAAGATTGATCGGATGAATTTACATTTCATGTCGACTTTAAAAACGGTAATAGGCCTAATATAATGACATAAAATTAATATCTGTTATTTTATAAATTTATGCCTAAATTTTTAGTGTTTTATTTTTTGACAAAATACTGTAGAATTTTATTTAGCATTTATCAGTGTTTATCGTTTAATTAACATAATGAAAATAATTGATATTGGCCAGAATTTTAATATATCCATATTATATCCACGGTGTATCCATAGTATAACTATAAGTTCATCCACCTAGAAAAGTAGTTCCACTTCATGATTATTGAGATGACTTCAAGACTCAAATAATACAGTTTTGTACCAAAGAATTCGTATACGTGCTTTAACAGAAATACAAGCAATTTTATTTTTTTCCAAACTGACGGACAAGTCAAACTAATTTTCTGTGCTCCGAGAGGCTGTTGATAGGTGGTTTTGAACCCATGACATTACTTTAAGGGGTTTATTTTCTCTTTTGTTCTGCTCTGATTCCTCCTCAGAATGACCAGTCTACAAACTGTGTAAAGGTTATTGGTGGAGATGAATTATCTGCCCTTACTGGCAAAGTGAGTTTTGATTTGAGCTTTGCATATGCTTTTGTTCTGTTTTCTAGTTTTACTCTATTCAAAAGTTTAAGGTCTGTAAGAATGAATGGTTTTGAAAGAAGTCTCCTATGCTCACCAAGGCTGCATTTACTTGATATTACAATTTAAAATAACCGTTTTCTATGTGAATATATTGTAAAATATAATTTATTTCTGTGATGCAGTGCTGAATTTTCAGCATCAAGAGTCACATGATCTTCAGAAATCAGTATAATATAGCCGATATGCTGCTCAAGAAACATTTCTGATTATTATCAACGTTGAAAACACACATAAAACATATGCTTCATATTTTGTGCAAGCCATGATCGATTATTTTTCAGGATTCTTTGATGAAAGTTCAAAAGAACAGCATTTATTTGAAATAGAATCTAGTTGTGAAATTATAAACGTCTTCACTGTCATTTTTGATTGCATCCTTGCTGAATGAAAGTATTTATTTATTTAGAGAGAGAGAGGAAAAAAATCTGTACTGACCCCAAACTTTTGAACAGTAGTGTATATACTTTGGAGGCGTCTAATGTAATGTTTCTCTTCTCTCTTTTTCCTCCAGAATGTGCTCATAGTTGAGGTGAGGTTCATTTTTGAGTCAGTATACTTCCATGTCAGATGTGTGTTCACACCAGCATGTGTTAAATGTATGTAGTGTGCTGTGCAATGAAAATACAGATGATGTAAGCAAATTAAATCTCTTTTTGTACCTACAGGACATTGTAGAAACAGGCAGAACTATGGAAACACTGCTCAAACTATTAAATGAATGTCATCCTAAAATGGTGAAGGTTGTCAGGTAAGGCATGAACATCTTCGGGGAGAATAGTTTTTAAACAGCTGTGTAATAAGCACATTTAACATTTAGAGATATTTCTGTGAACATGTATGGTTAAATGGCCTTTTTTAGTATATATATATATATATATATATATATATATATATATCTCACAATATTTAATGTCATGTAATTTCAGTTTACTTGTGAAAAGGACACCCAGGAGCTCAGGATATCGTCCAGACTGTGAGTTCCTTCATGTTGCTCATCTTTGGATTTGATTGGATATTAAGAATATTTTGTGCTTAATCCGCATCACTTAGAGAAATCAAACACCCTGCATTTATGTAGTTGGATGTATTATTCATCTGTCTGTGTTCAGAGTAGTTATGCAATGCTTTTAGACAGAAAGCTGATAAGCTCTTTATATCCATCCGTCCGTCTATCCTCCAAGCACAAATGTGCTCTTGACTTGCACTCTAAAGCTGAGCGCCGAAGTGCTTCGAGTCCGTTATCAAGAGGATGGAGAATCATTTAGCTGTTTAGCAGTGACGCACTACCGAGGGCGGCCCAGTAATGTCCTCTACAGGGGACCATGAGCTCTGCTCGAATGCAAATAATAATGCAACCAACCACCAACAAAATATAAATACATTCACCATTAAAAATGTTACAATGAGATGAACCTGCTTTTGAATAGGATGAAACATCACATCATAACATCTTAATTCTATTATTGTATAATATATTTTTTCTAGTTAGATTTATAATAATATTGAATAATATATGATGTAATTAGTTATATGAAAAAAAATAATGTGCTTAATTTTCATGAAAATAATGGAAAAATTCTGGGATTTCTTTATGCAAAATATAACTACTAGTCATAAAATATGACTGACATTTCTTTGAGATTCAACTGAATTAGTTCATGCTGTGAAAAACTGATTGGAAATGTTCCCTGATATTTCCAATTAGCTGGTTATGATTATATAATTTTATTTTCAAAATACTTTTTTGGAATGTGCGTAATTGTCATGAAAATAATATTACATAATTATAACATCGAATAATGTATTATATAATTTATTATTTATTTTTAATCCTATTTTTTTGGAATATGCTTAATTATCATGAATAATGCAAACAGTTTTGGACTTTCTTCATGCAAAAACAAACATATATATATATATATGCCATTCAAATTTT